ACAGTACACTTTCCACACACCAGCTCTCAGTGGGGAGGAGAACAGAGTGATGAAGCCAGTTCAGAGATGGGGATTATTAGGAGGCCATGATTGGTTAAGGCCAGAGGGAAATTTGGCCAGGATGCCGGGGTAACATCCCTACTCTTTTTGAGAAATACCCTGGAATTTTTAATGACCACAGAGAGTCAGGACCTTAGTTATACGTCTCATCCAACCAACAGCGCCTATTTACAATATAGTCTCCCCATCACTTTGCTGGGGCATTAGGACCCACACAGACTGCAGGGTGAGCGCCCCCTACTGGCCCCACTGACACCTCTTCCAGCAGCAACCTTAGTTTTTCCCAGGAGGTCTCCCATCCAGGTACTGACCAGGCTCACACCTGCTGAGCTTCAGTGGACTGCCAGTGGTGAGTTGCAGGGTGATATGGCTGCTGGCAAATTAGTAGTGTTTATAGTTGGAAACTGGGGGCCTGTAGGTGACGCTCGCTGGTACAGTAGGTCTCGCATGAGACGGGGAACATGTATCTTCCAGTGTAAGGGAGACCGGCCGTGGAAGGGTGTGTCAGGGGTCCTGGAGCAGGAATGGGACAGGATTCTTCCTGGGAAGGGTGAGCCAGGTGGAGTGTGCTAGATGTTCCAGGGAATGAGAGGAAAGAGCTTTCTTTTGTTAGGAAGAAGAGAAATGGGGAATTCGGGAGTTCTTCAGGAATTCAGTTGTCCCGGTTCCCTCTGTGGAACAGAGGACTGGAGAGCTATTCCATGTGAGAAGAGGAACTGAAGATAATCTCTGTGAAGGACTGGTTTTTGGGACTGAGCAGGCTTCTCCAAAAGGGGACCACCGGTACATCTTAGGAGCCCAGAGAGGGGTTCTGTAAGCCAATAGTGACAGATCACTGAAACGCACACTCCTAGAGTGAAATCTTTGCTGGGTCAGGGCTGCAGTGTGTGGCTCTGGGGTCGGCATCCCTCACATGTGGGGGCGGGGGTGAAGAGTTGCAGGTGAGTGGCAAGCTGCAGGTGTGGCCCATATTTCTCAGGAGAAAGTAGTTTACTTTAAGGCCCTGGCAAGAGTCGCAGAACGCAGACAGCTGTACAGCTTCACAGGTGTCCTGGAAGGCTGGGGTTATATTGTAGTGACCCTCTGACAACTCCGGTGCTGCACCACTGGAATGAGTACATTTTCCCTGTTTTCCACAGGTTTCCTGGAACCAGCCAGCTCAGGCCATTCACAACTGGGTCCGCGGCCACGATAAAGTCCCGGGAGCGTGGGCCGTCATTGGCGGACAGGTACGGCGGGCACACCTGGTGGGCTTCTGCTCGGGTGTCCGAGAGGCCCGGGTTTTCTGCCCACTTCTTCTGGTCTTTTACTTTAACCGTCACTGGGTCATTACTGTTGCTAAACGAGGAAAAGGAAAATGCAGTGCTGTGCGTGAGCGTGTTATACAGGGACTCTCTGAGATATTGCAGAATAGAATTTGATCAGTTATTTCCAGACCAGCTGATGTATCCGGGGAGGCTGTTCAGAGAGACGTTCAGTTGGAACCTGTAACGTGACGAGTCAGGCAGCTCTGCTTCCCTGCGAAGGCCTGAGTTCACCAGCAGGTGGCGCTGTGTCTCTGTCCAGGCAGTGACCCTGTATGGCTCCTCCCTCCTGGCCGGTCCAGTGCCCCCCGGGGAGCCTCTGGACATCGAGGGAGCCCCGCAGCCCGGCATCGTCACCAGCAACGGACTGGTCCTCTTCGGCTCCGACGGGAAATCGGTACTTCCGCCGATCCGCGCGGCACGATCCCTTCCCGACCCAGGAGAGACTGCGGGAAAGGAGAACATCCGGGCACCCTCTCAGAATCTGAGCTGCCTTGAAATTGTTGAGAACTGTTCCCCCTGAGAAAGACGAAGAGGGGTTTCAGTGAGAGGCAGCTCTCTGAGAGGGGACCCCCTCTTCTGCTTGTCATTACATTAGGCTGTTGAAGCGTTTTACAGAGTGACAGCATAGTAGTGCTGTTTATTGAATGAGAAATATAAATGTAATTTCATAAAGCAATACATTTTTCTACTGTCGGGAGCAGCAGTGGCTTCTCCTGAGCGGAGAGCGAGCAGCAGCTCTAGGCCGACGCTGGCCTCTCACGGCCCGTTCTTCTGCCGCAGCTCCTGGTGAAGAACCTGCAGTTTGAGGATGGCAGGATGATCCCGGCGTCCAAGTACTTCTCAGCCGGAGAGACGGCGAGCGTGGAGCTGACTGAGGAGGAGGAGAAGATCGCCGAGGAAATCCGGGTAGCCTTCCTCGCTGTCTCTGCTTCATGCTGCTCAAGCAGACCCACCCCAGGCGGTTTCCTTCCAGATAATCGTCCTGATTCCCCTGAAGAATCCAAAAAAGCTTTCCCCGTCTTCACTGTGGGCAAATTTACCACAAAGGGGAAAACATTCTGACTGTAATTACAGAGTACAGATGTATTTAACGTGCTCAGTTTTAAGGTACACTTATCTGGGAAACCTCATTTATTAAAAACACATCAACTACTTTAAGTTTAAATTAAATTAAAATGCGCACGGAAGTAAGAGATAAAAATGTTGACACCTCATGCGCCAAGCATTCATCATGGGCGTCTATCATCACAGTGAGCCCTAAGTGCTCCATGCTGCCCTCAAACCGGGGCCTTTGAGCTCTGTGTCTGTGTGGAGGAGTGTGGCAGCCCCTGGGGTCCGGAACAGTTTTTCCTCGGTTCAGTTCTCTGCTTGGCTTTGTCAGGAGCACTGGAAGAGCACTGTCAGGTCCTTCTGCTCAGTCTCACCAGCTCTGCTCAATCTCACCAGAGTGAAGTGCTCAGCAGATGGCTTTTCCGTTTCTGATCGCGCTTCTTGTTTCAGGCCATTTGGAAAGGCATTTTGAGCAACGTTCCAAAGATTGAGGACTCGACAGATTTCTTCAAATCTGGAGCAGCCTCAATGGATGTAGTGAGGTAAGTCTGGTTTGGGGAGTCCTTAACTTTTCAGAGTGTACTATGGTACTGATTGCGGTGAAAGTGTGAGGAGAGCTCAGTTAAAGAACATTGGGGTAAAGATGGAAAACCTCGGAAAGTAGCCTGACAGATTGTTAGTGAGGAACATTCCTTCAGCTGCAGCTCATTCCCTGCAGTTGGGCTGGGGCTCTACATTGCCTGTCAAGACTCCAGTGCCTCAGGCCTTGCTCTCAGTCAAGAGACGAGGCTGTCGTGACTCTCAGCACAGAGGCGAGGCAGTCGTGACTCTCAGCACAGAGGCGAGGCAGTCGTGACTCTCAGCACAGAGGCGAGGCAGTGAGGGTGTTGACGTGTCTTCCGCTCCGCAGGCTGGTGGAGGAGATCAAGCAGAAGTGTGAGGGGCTGCAGCTGGAGAACGAGGACGTGTACATGGCCACCAGCTTCCAGGACTTCATCCAGATGGTGGTCAGGAGGCGGAGGGGCGAGGACAGGGAGGAAGAGCTGGTTGTTGACCACGTGAGTCGGCACAGCCTGCCGAGGCTCAGTCTTCGTCACCAGAGGAGGATTTCTCATTTCATTTCTCAAGCAAAACACTGGCTGCTCCCACTCGAGAACTTTCAACAACATTGTATGAAGTTGTGTACAAATCCTGTATTTGACATGTTAGTCACTGCCCAGAATATTTCTGAAGAGGTCTCAGAAGCTTTGCTTTTGAATCCACATACTTTAATGGGGGTTTGAATTCTTCAGTATATAAACTTTAGAGCCTAAAAGCCTAAACTACGTACTGCAGCTGTGAGCGCAGCTCAGACCTCCTCCCTCCCTGAAGATCTCTGCTGTTTACCCACTGTATGGGTTTTGCAGTAGCTCCCCTAAACGTTTTAAGGTGTTATAAGTCTTCTACTATAAATTTATATTGGATTTTGCATTTTAGAACATTTATTTCACCAGCTAAAAGATCCTAAATAAACAAGTGGTTCTGTTTTGTTCATTAGGTAACTAAAGAAGTGAATAACATGACTGTGAAGATGCCGCATCAGTGTTTTATCAATGGGAAATTTGTGGATGCTGAAAGCGGAAAGACCTACGACACCGTCAACCCCACAGATGGCTCGGTGAGAATACTGAAATTCATTGGACATGCCAGTGAAGCTTCTTGAATCGAGTCCCCGTGGTTTAAATGCACAGCTTTGCTCATTCGTGGTCAAGAGAGAAGTTGGAGTTTAAAAGCGGTGTGCACATCTTAGCATCTTCAGGAACAAGCACTGCATGAGCTCCGGCATGCCCCAGTGGATCGTTTCACTTCTGATGCCATGAGAATTGTGAGGGGGTATCAAGCCCAAGAGCACAGTACATTATGATGCTGGGGAATGCTGGGCTCTTGCACTTGGCTGAAGTCGTTCTGCAGTCCTCCCAGGGGCCGCAGGGTTGTTTAATTCCCAGTGCCGCGCGCTGTGTGCCCCTGTGGTTCTGGTGGGCAGACTGGCTTCGCTGCTGTGTTCCAGGTTGTCTGTAAGGTGTCGTACTCGTCCGTGGCCGATGTGGACCAGGCTGTGGCGGCGGCGAAGGAGGCGTTTGAGCGAGGGCCCTGGGGGAAGATGAACCCCCGCGACCGAGGCCGGCTGCTGTACCGGTGAGTACGCGGTGCCCCGGCGCCAGGCTGAGCTCCACCTGCAGCTATTTCATACGCAGATCCGGGGTGACCACTTCTATATCCTCAAACAACAGAAGAGTTGCAGAGTCCTTGGCCGGTCATTACCATGGCTCCTCTGTGCTCTGTCCCGACTCTCCACAGGTTGGCTGACCTGATGGAGGAGCACCAGGAGGAGCTGGCCACCATTGAGACCTTGGACTCGGGCGCAGTGTACACCCTGGCACTGAAGACGCACGTGGGCATGTCTGTGCAGACCTTCCGCTACTTTGCTGGGTGGTGCGACAAGATCCAGGTATCGGCAAGTCATAGGCTAAGAAAGGACTTCACAGGAAGTCATAGGCCTAGAAAGGACTTCACAGGAAGTCATAGGCCTAGAAAGGACTTCACAGGAAGTCACAGGCCCCAGAAGGACTTCATAGGAAGTCATAGGCCCAGGAAAGACTTCATAGGAAGTCACAGGTGCAGGAAGGACTTCACAGGAATTCACAGGTCCCTGAAGGACTTCACAGGAAGTCACAGGCCCAGGAAGGACTTCACAGGCCCAAGAAGGACTTCACAGGAAGTCACAGGCCCA